TCATTTCTCTACTTTACTTTCTCGTTTTGTCTGTTAATTAGCTGAATTTGTTTTTAAACAGGTTACATTCATGGGCTGGGTGTGGGAAAGATTGAGATCTACCAACCATTGGAATGTTTGGAAAAGAAAGTTTTTAACACTCAAGGGCTCAGAGCTGCAGATTTTTGAAATGCCTCCTGTAAGTATTCAGTGATTCTTTACAAAATCAATACATTGCTGAGCAACTACAAGCCAGTAATCAAAGCATTCAACATTGTGCAGTTCCAGAAAATATCTATACTCCCTTCACACAAGGGATTGGTATTTCCTAGGGGGTAAGGGGTTCACTGAAGCCAAAACATTTAAAGAAATGTATCAAGCTTAATTGGATTTTCCAGAGGGGTGCCAGGGGGGTCTTGGAAAATCGATCTCTTTCGTGGGGGAGGTATGTATATTTTCTGGAACTATGCATTGCCAATGAGAAGTATCTCTCTTTCACCGAGTTTTAAGTTGATAATTATATTTCAGATGTTTAAAACATCATTACTTTCCAGCATATTGTGAGATGTTATATTATCACACCATGATAAATTTTCCTATACACTGTAGGTTGTTACAAGAGACTGGCTTAAAAGTGAAATTTCTTATAATTTGATGGAACTTGTCTGTCACATTTGTAAGGTATGGTACAATTTCACAGCTTTCGTTGAAATTGGTGAAAAGGCAGGTTTTAGTTACAGGTTGAGTCTCCAGGGTTTACACAAGTTGTAGAGCAGCTATAAAAATTAATCATTGCAGAGTAGGTGATAAAGACAAGTGAACAGTCTTACAAAAAGTGTGAAAGACGTGAAAAGATAGCAACGAAAAATCAGTAAAAAAGGAGCAAAACTGGCCAGCAGTGGGGTAAAGGTCCTAATAACATTATAGTGTTAATGTACAAATTGGAAAAATGTTTTAATTGTTCCATGACTAACCAGAAATGGGATCAAATCACAGGTTTTTCGTTAACATTTTCATCAGGAGGGTAACTGGTTTTCACAGGTTACAAACCCATTTGATCTGAATTTCTTTGTAGAAAAACTTTCCACTATAGATGGTGAAACCAGGTGGGCAAAATCATGCTCACGACCAGTCAATTTGCCCGGTGCCTGGCCCTTATTAATGAAACTCCTGAATCAATTAGTGATAATCACTGTGAAGGTTTGCGAATTATAGTCACATCTCATTAGTTTTTCCTTGTGATGCACAGATATCCTACAAATATTTGAATGAAGGAAAACTTTTATTTGAGTGTCAATACTAACATATAGTATTAAAAAAACACTCACAGACTAAATGAGGACACTATGAAACAAAGTAAAAGAACAAAATCTAGATATTTCAAAAAAAAGTTAAAATATTCATAAAACATAGATATATACAAGATAAAATACAAGATAAAACCTTGAACAAGATAACTTGATAAAATAAAACTTTCAAATAATATGAACTATTAAATACAACTGGCACAGCATTGATTGATGTCATTGATCCTGTTTTTTAGGAAGATGAACTACTCGACAAAAGAGAACATTGCTTTTGCCTCCAGTCCAGTTCAGGCGGGAGCCACTACCTTGGAGTTGGTGAGTCACTGTTGTGTATGTAGTCTGCTATTGATTCACAGTGTGACTTCTCCAACCAAGGCTACCCGACAAAATTTTCTACAAATTTAATGAATAAAAATTGTGAAGGTTAGCAATAGTTTTCCAACAAATAATTGTTCAATGTACAGATTGCTTACATGGATGATTTGTTGGAAAACTTGTGTTAACATCAATAATTTTTATTCCTTAAATTTGTGGAAAATCTTGTTGGGTGGCCTTGGTTGGAGTAGCTACACTGTAAATGGAGACACGCAGATTTCAATAGTATGGTTATCTTATGTCTTAAAAGTGGCCAGTAACTGAGAGAAACGTTTGAACTTTGAACTTTGAACTAGTCTTGTTTGGTGAGTCTGTAAATTAAAGTGATGTACATGTCTATTCATGTTCATTAGACACAGAAGCTGATCTGACAGAGATCGTTAACAGAGTACAGAAATCCACCCATCAAGCAGTCACTGAAATTGAGGTACAGTTATTTTGACGTATTATTAACATAAATTTATGGAATGTATTCTTTTGAACCCAAAACTAAATTTTATTTATTAATTCAATAATATATAACATATATGATACAGTGTAAAACAAGCAAAATGTTATTTGCCTTAATTATTATGGTGAATATCTTTTTGCTTGTTTCTCTGCCTCACTGTTTTGTTACTTTGGTTTAACTTCATGCCAGTCTGGTCTGGTTCAGACCAAGAAATGATATATATTTACTCTATTTATTAGTTAGCAGATGTCATTAATAAGTTTATTTGGTTTTTGCTCCACAATACATATAACAGCTCATATGTTGACACTAAAGGAACTATACGTATTTTATTCTTTGGTTGTTACAAGCCTATGTCACTCTTCAGTATTGTTGGTGTTCAAAATAAACAGACAATTTTATAGTTACTTGACAGTCTTGTTTAAAAGAACCATGTTAACGTGTTTTGATTTCAAACATTCAGATTTTGTTTCTTTCATTGAATTTTTAGTCTCGAACATTTCCCGGAAAGTGGCATGGTCAGAGTGTGAAACTTGTTTTTGATCTCAAAAGAGGGCTGCGACTTTACAGTGCGTCTGACAGGGTTGGTCTTTTCTCTACTTACTACCTCGTTTGTGAAGACACATTTCAGTTGCACTCATCAACACTCAAGAGAATGGAAGGGAATAACATGAGTGCTACATAGCAGCATCCCATTCAGTTTTATTCTGGTTGTCAACCTTGAAACACCCTTTTAAATAATAAATGTCATTTGTTCTGCTTGAATGTTTACATCAATCTGTAGCAATAAAAAGGAGTGCAAGGTGACGTGTTTCAAGGAATTTCAAACAGGATTGAAGTACTGCCAGTAATTAGAATCTGACTTTAAGTTTTACGAATTTGAAAATGTTGATTAATTTGTTGTTAATTTTCATTCTTGATTGTTTGTCCAAAGCCTCTGTTATAAGGATAAGGTATTTCTGTGTTAATATTTTAGTCATTTCAATGCCATCTCTGTCATCTTTTGTTAGTCTCTCCTGTGGCAATACCGGTTCTCATTTCTTCGTGGCTCATCTGATGATGGTTTTCGAAAGATTGTGTTGTTGTTTTCTGCTTCTCCAGCTGGTCCTTTTGACAGACAGGTTAGCAAATTGCTTAATTTGTTCTTGCTTTTACACTGGTCATAGTGATATTTATTTACTCTTGATGTGCATTTTCCATCATGTATTCCAGGTAAATAATGCACCACAATGTTGAATTGATTTTGAAGGAACCGCCCTTTAAAAACGTGGATAACAAGTTAGACTGTTGTAAAATAAGTGTTTAATGATCATTCAGGGTTAATGCCTTTATCAGTTTAAGTCAATATTTTCCGTTCATTAGCATTGGTGGATCTAAGGGAGGGACCCTCCTTTGTGCATTATATTATAAGACCTTAATGGCCTATCACTTTTTGAGAACCTCGTGTGCACTTGCTACTGGTCATTAGTGTTGCTGAACAAATAAATACACTGTTAAATGGGGTATCTCTGAAAAGTGTGGAAAAGAAATGCACTATTTCACAATTTTATTGTTACTGATCAGATGGTTCACTTATATATCTGAATAATGTTTGCTTTTTTTCATTTCAGGAGTTAGAATTTACAAACATGCAGCAGGTGTTAACAGTGATGCATGCCTTCTATGCTGCCAAGGTCGCTCAAGTTGACCCAAACTTCTCTTTTGACAATAGTTTTTAACTGTCACACTTGAGATGAAGAACACTGGAGAGAGGACATTAAATGACATATGCAGCCAATACTAGAACACTAGACAGTACTCAACATCTAGATTATTGTGACCATGGAAGTGATGGATGAATGTGGAAACTCTTTATGAAAGAAGTGAACATTAGTTTATCAATTTGAAAGGAGCAAAGATTGGACTTTGAAGAGTTTGAAATAGGTGACAAATACATGCAGGGGGTTTTAGAAACGGTGACAGTGACACAAAGGACAACACCTAGTTGAAAATGAATTTTTATTATATGGCTAGCTCCGTGAGTGGGCAAGATGAATCAAATACTGTGCTGTGATTGGCTACCCGAGCGGGCAAAAAGAAGTTAGCTTGCCTGCTCAGGACTACCCACTGTGTCCCACAAGACAAAATTTCCCCGAAAGCCATGTAATAAATCCTTTATTGACCAAACTTGTTCGGTCAAGATGGCTGGATATTGGCCTTGTTCTTTATGGACCTCGACTCCGTCTCACTCCATAAACATGCAAAAAAAGAACTTGGCCAATATCCAGCCATCTTGACCTCACACTTGGTCAATAACCCATACACCTGCAATAGGCCACGTTCGATATATCAATATTCTAACATGGCTCCAAGGCTCTGGGGTCAAAATTGTAAATTTTTAAAGTTTCTTTTGTCTCTCAATTCCCAAAAGAGACTTGGAAACAACGAAAACAACACCAAATATAGAAGTTTGTCCTGAAAGCCTCGGAGCCATGTTAGAATATAATTTGATATATCAAATGTCGCCTGTTATCTACATATATTTAAGTATCTAAGACCGAACTCAAGCTGAAATGTACAAAAAACGTTCAGTGCTTAGTATCAGTACATGAAACTACCTGCCATGGTTCATGTTCTTCAAAATACACTGAATCTGACCATTTCACAATGTTTTGCAGAGATGGCTAAGGAAGGTACCTCAAGTTGTAATGTGTAGGCAGAACTGCTCATTATTTCTCTCTTTTTTTTGGTGATTCCTGTTGTGGTTTGCAAAAATACCATAATGAGATTATTTAGGAGTTCCTGTAAAAAATAGGCATATTGCAGAATGGTAGTCAAATTTCCAGTCTCTCAGGAAAAAAAAACGTCTTCTGGTCTGTGGAGAAGATATTAGTCTTGCCCTCTTGCAACAGTCTCAATTTTATTACACAGCCATTTCCTTATCTAAAAACCAGGTTAGCTTGATTAGTACACTAATAAGCTAATTGGTTATTTTACAAATACTACAATAGACTGTGATTAGTCTGTTTTACTATAAAGCCTGTGAGGAAGAATGCAAAACTAGCGAGCATGCAAGCCCACGATACTTGGGGCTCACAGTTTTACATGTCACCCTCGCACTCTCTCAACCGCTCACTTGCATGGCGTTCCTCTTTGCATCCTACCTCACAGAATTCCGAGCAAAAGAGACTGCTCGCAGTCTAATACTATAGCAATATGTTTAGAACTGGTAGCAAGTTTCTGACCTGAGTACCATGAGAAATGGTACCTGATATTAATACTTGGTATCCATGTCAAGTTTCAGCACCCAAGTGAGGGCTAAAACTGCTTCCCAGCAATTATCTTTCCTTGCCAATGGGCAATTTTTTAAAAAAGAAAAGTGCCATTACCTTATTTTCCTTTGCCATTTGACAGACACTTTTTTAATTTTTTGGTATCAGCATTTTAAAATGTAAATAAAAATGATTTGAATTTCACAGGTAGGTCATGAGACCTAATGAAGGAAAACTCCCAGTAATCATGCTTCTTATTTGTGAAACTGGATGGTAAATTGTTATTAGCCCATTGCTGCCAGTAGAATTCAAAATTAAAGCAAATCAAGGAATTAAATTCAGTAACAGAGAAATTATTTTCAGGTAGTAAGTTGGGCATGCATCTTTATTTTTGTGCTCATGAGTGACAACAGGGGCTTCATTAACGTTTTCAACAGGAAGGCAAAGGGTTTTCACAGGCAGGCAAAACTTTTTGAACTGAACTTCTTCATGCTTCTGGCCAGATGGTCAAACCAGGCAGACCAAATTCTCCTCTCAGCCGATCAATTTGCCTGATACTGGGGTCCGTTTCTTGAAGGTCCTGAAAAGTTTCCGCACCCGGAAAGCCGTAGCTAAATCTCAAACCTTATGATTACAGAGCTGTTTTATTTAGTAATACATATTCTTAATATGGCCAGAAGTGTCCTTCATACAAGAAGTTTCAGGCGTATACACCTGTCTGTTTTTAGATACAGATTAACTGAAAATGACTTTGCAGGCCTGAAAAGTTTCTGGAGCTTTCAAGAAACAGGCCCCTGGGTCCTTACTGGACTCTTAATGAAATCCCTGTGTGCTTTTGCTCTGAAGAGTGGTTGCCATTCGGGCCTGAAGGAAAAAAGCACACTGATCATGATATTACTATAATAAATATTTCATGCGATAGTTAATGATTGCATTAAACACTCTGCCAAAGTTTATTGTGACTTTTCTTTGATCAGGATGTTTTCAAGAAGTAATTTCAATCTGTATATAAATGTCAAATCCAATAAAGACAATTGAAATATTTTTTTCATGAAAAACAACTCTTTTGTTATTGCTAATAATTAATGCTGTTGACATTTTCTTCTGTTGTGGTCCTCTCTGTTGCACAATACTTGCTTAGTTCAGCATGACGGAATTGTAGTGTTGTGTAACAGAGAGGGCCAGAACTGAACCAATTTTGGACAGTTCAGCCCAGGCCAAGAAAGCACTCCAAAGTACTTGATAGATCCCAATTTATTTGCCTTTTATTTTAATTTTTACAATATTTAATAGTCATCCGACACGCAAATGCTGACTCAAATCTTGAGTCTTGTTAATGCTCCAACATATGCATTGCATGACATGCTGGTATACTTTATGTACAAACTTTTTCACTACACCTTATTGTAAAACAGAGGCAAACAGCTATTTAAATTACCTTTGACTCTGATATTTTAAGAACAGTTCCATTTTTAAAGTAATTCAATGTATAATTTGCTAACTACATTGTAGTACTTAGTACCTTGAAAAACAAATTACAATCAACTTATATTACACTGAATTATACTGCACTGGATTAAATGTGTCATACACATAATGCCTGAATTCCATTTGAAGTTGCCAAATAATAATTAATTTTATTATCCTCTTCTGTACAATATTCCTTCTTCATGTCAGTCAAGGTTAGAAAAGCACCTTGACGAGTATTATAATTATACTTTCCTTATGCATGTGGCATACTGAGAAGCTTGTAGATAAAATTGTGGACAATAAATAATAAATCTAAGCCCAGGGATGTCTTAGCTCTCACAGTTACAATTTATAAGCTTGTTATATACCTCTAACTAAGTAAACCAAGTTTGAGGTCTGTACTGTAAGGTACAAACCAAGCTTTTCCCCTTCAATTTAAGGCCTAAGCACAAAGCTTGCAGGCCATAATATAAATCAAAGAGGAAAAAACAAGGATCTGTAACCTACAGTACGGACTGAGAAGAAGAGGTTAATAAGATATTTATATCTCTACTGTGTCTGACAGGCTCAGAAATTATTTCTATTCACACAACAGCTTTAGACAGGCTAGTAAGATCACTCTATGTTTCATCAGCCTTACCAAGTCTCTTACAAAGCAAGCCACATTGACAATCAAGATAAAAGATCTTGATAAAAGACAAACACTATTGACTAGAGAGGCCTTACCTCGGGGAG